AATTTAAAATTGCAAATAAAATTTTAACACCAATCGAGGAAACGAGTGGGACTCGAGCTCAGGTCACTTAAGGTGATACTTACACAGTTTATCTGGTGGTTGTGGTTCATAGACATATACATGCATCCTCGATCAAGAATCAAAATGAGATGTTCCAAATTGTACGGTATTTGTACCTAAACACAATAATAGGGAAACACATTTTAAACGGTTCTCAACCGTTCAGTTATTATATAATGGCCTTGCTTGCTGGTAAAGCACAGAAAATTACACTTAAAATTGCAATATACAACTAAAACCCATAATGGCGGTAAACTGTAATTTATAATAATGGAGGTTAGAGAATAGTAGAACGATCGCTACGTGCTAAATCATTAGCCCGCCTTTCCCTGAAAATTTGTAGAATTTATAGCCGCGTTGCCTTCGGTAAGTAGTGTCTGCGAAGTAATTTTTTAATTTTTGAAAAAGAAACGTTAAAAATGGTGAAATGTTATAAATCATAATAATAATAAATCAATAATAATTAACAATTTACACTGTAATAGTTTACAATATTTATAATAATTAAAATTATTGAAACAACTTAGCGATCGCAGCGCCTCACTTATTTTATCCATATTTCTGGGACACTATGTTATCCAGCGATTGTTCTCCCGTTCTCTAACCTCCATGTTTTTATTGATAAAGGACGTTTGGCATTTTTGTCACGTATTTTTGACACTGATGTGACAACTGACAGTTCTCTTTCTATGATCAATGGTCGCTTTATGGTTTACTGATGGTCGCTTTATGGTTTACGGAAGAAGAAGAAGAAGATAGAAAAAGATTCCTTTATGTAAATTATCAAAAATTTTTCTCTTTTATGAGGTGGTGTACATTGACCTGGCCCACTTTGAAACATCTGCTTTAGATAAGTTTTCATCCTTTTTTTTTTGCGGATTTGACGCCTTTCGCTCTGGGTGTAGCGTAAGGGAATGTCAGACTTTTACTGACTAAAAACCATCAGTGTTCCTTCAGTGCCCTTACGTTCCGGAGCCGCGGTATCTCTTTCGAACAGCCCGCAGCTCCGGCAGGCGTCGGCCCTTGCGGGCCCCTTCACGCTGCTGACAGCTCTTTGAGGCGCGCGTGGAACAAAACGCGCCGTCGACACGGCCTGTCGTCGTTAGACGGACGGACGGCGAGTTACCCATTGCTCGCCGTCCACAGGCCCGCGCCTACGGTGGCCGGGGGCCACGACGTAGCCCCCGACGCCCGGGGCGTCTCCCGCGGCGGCCGGGGAGGAAAGCTGCTGCTCTCTCCTTCTCCCGCTCCGCCACCTCCTTCGCTAGCATCACTGCTTCGCAGAAGGTGGTGACGGCATCCCATTCCGTCTCGCTCCGGACCATGGCTTCGACCAGGGCCGGACGCGAGAGGTCTCCGCCGCCTATCGCCGCTACGAGGACACGGCAGTGCTCCGCCCAAGCAGGGCACACCTCTACGGTGTGTTCCACCGTGTCCTCCGGTCCATCATCGCAGTGGGAGCACCCGGGCGTTTCCTCCCGCCCGATTCGGTGCAGGAACCTCCCGAACACACCGTGTCCGGTGAGGACCTGCGTCAGGCAGAAGGTGAGGATGCCGTGGCGTCTCTCAAGCCACTCCTCAAAGAGGGGTCTTATCGCCGCTATAGTGGCGTGCCCAGCACGGGGTTGCGACAGTCGCTGTCTCCATGTCGCCATGAGATCGTGCCGGAAGTCTGTCCGCTGCGCGACAACTTGCCGCGGCAGCGGGGTTTCCCCACGGCACAGTGCTTCCGCGCGCCTTTCGTGCAGGCGCGCGAGGACTATCGCCTCCAGATCCCACGGCGGCAATCCGGCAAGGAGGCTCGCTGCCTCGCGGGAGATCGTGCGGTAGCCGCGAACCATTTTCACGGCAATCACCCTTTGGGGCGCGTTCAGGTGGTGGACGGCAAGCCGCGCCAAACCACGCGCCCACACCGGGGCCCCGTAAAGGGCCATGGACCGCACGATCCCCGCGTAGAGCCTCCGGCAGGAGGCGTTTGGCCCTCCCAGGTTCGGCAGGAGCCGCCTGAAGGCAGCCCCGGTCCGTTCCAGTTTGGGAGTTAAACGTCCGAAGTGCTCAACGAAGTTCCATCGGCCGTCGAGGACGAGTCCTAGGTACTTCAGCGTCGACTCGACGCCGATGGATACCCCTCCTACCATCACTGAGGACCCCGGTGGTGGCCTGTTCCGAGGACCATGGAAGTGCATGGCCTCGGACTTGTGCAGAGCCACCTCGAGACCCAGTTGGCTCTGCACAAGTCCGAGACCCAGTTGGCGCTGCACAAGTTTTCATCCTTGACGACTGAAACAGAATGCCATGTGAACAGTTTACACTCATCATGAAACACAGCGGCATTAATCTGCTATTTTCCATTGATATTCTGTATTTGTGGTCCTTCCCAGCCATTTTTGCTAAAGCTGTAATATACCTGCAGCGTAACTCTATCACATGTGAGTGTTGAAGATTTGCACAAACTCCTTAACGCTACTCAGTTGAGTTCAATCCGTCGTGCTAAGTACAGGGAAACCCTAAAAAAAGGCTTAGATAAAATAGTTTTTTACAATACCGGTAGTTACGATTATTCGCTTAAAAAATCTTGCCATTTAATAAAATATACTTGCCACCTTTTGTCAAATAATAATCTTAAACATTGCCCCATTAAAATTACCAGTACATAGTGAACTTTACCGAAGGTTTAAGACCGTTTAAACTTTCAACAGAAGAGACTTGAAAATTTCTTTTCCAAATTCATTATGTAGGCGTGAACTGTCGTCGGCAAAGGCCAAGTAGATTTAGCTAAAGGAGTTTTACAAAGTTCGAGGATATCTTCCGCTCGTCACGAGCAATAGTCGCCAGGGATCGGGCACTTCTAAATTTCATAAATGGGGAAACTATGCATGTTTTCATAACAAATTTATGAGCTGATGGGTAATAAGAAATGGTTTGGCTGAAGTCTGACTATTTCTATTTATATATTTATTTCAACTAACAAGTATCATAGAGTAATATTACATTTATTCCAACAACCCGTAAGTATCGGGAGAAACTTAAATTTTTTTTTACTTTATTCCACATAACTTTAACGTTATTTAAATTTTTTTAGTCCAAGTTTTTTGCTAATAGGTTACTGTTAAAATCAAATATCATATTTTGATTAACCTCGATAACATTATAAGGGTTCCCATTGACCTTTGCCCATTGTACTAGTGATTACCACTCATACGGCGAATATACCTCTCTACCTTTTGCAGTCTTTTCTATCAGAGCGTGAACTGTATCTCCTTCATTCTGTGTATGGCCCTTTTCCATAAAATGGTGGCTTTTCTTCATTTTAAAAGTTTTAGCAGCTAATAAGATTTTGTCCCCCACAGTTGTCTGATCATAGATTGACTTCGTGAACTCCTTTAGAAGCTTATTTAATAAAAAAATCGTATAAACAACTAGCCACTTCATTAGCCCCCCTCTTAGCCATTTGCTCATCGCACATATAACAAAACTCTTCTTTTGATGCCATATTGTAAATTGTAAAATTATATACATTGAGCTAACGCCTATAATAATACACACTTATTACCATTTGGTGAGCTTAAAATTTTTGAAAATCAAATACAATACAAACTACTTTGTTACTAGAGACAGCTAACAGTTTACATTCTAATTTCAATTTACGGTAATTTTTTTTTCTGTTTTATGATTTGTGAAGTTTTCTTCCAATTCATCTGTAGGGCTAGATGTATTTTTGTACTGATGACAGAGATCGCATTGGTCTTTTTTTGGTAAATAAAACCTATCTTCAAATTAGTATTAACAGTATCTCTCTACTGTCTGTACTCTAACATTATAATTATTATCAGCACGCCACACATCATACAACTTAAAAATTTTTGAAAAAGATAAAGAAGGTTCTAAGTATTTTTACTCGTACGTTTTCTATCGTAGTGAGACTCAACAGGGGTGAAAGAATTAACGTGGTCTATGACACTCTTTTTCATTTCATTTGAAATTACATAGTTATTATTTTTATGCCGACCTCTGTCATCAGTAACACGAGTAAAAATCATTGTTTTCTTGGATTTTTCGTATTGCAGTATACACAAAATCTTTGCTTATATCAAAAGTGTTCAAGAACATTGTTTTTCAAACTTTTTGTAATGTGATAACATTGTCAGAATTTATAGGAAGGTGATAATGCAAAGTGTGTGATCGACGACTAGATTCACTTTCCACATTAGTGGCAGTCTTTTTTACTTTTTTTTATTATATATTTGGCAATGATTTTCCATTGTTTTGCGTGATTACCAGTATCTGAAAACTTATCAAACAGGTCAATACAAACTTCTTGGTTTATTTTATTATAGCATTGCAAACAACAATTGACACAACTGAGTTTAATGCTTCTTGGTGCTTTAGTTTTCCCTTTTGACGTTGTATACTGCAATCTTTTGTTGCACAAACGTTTTCTCTTTCTACTTATCCACTCATCTTCAAGTTTAACACGTTTGAGACCCACATCAGTTCTTTTTTTAGATCTACGTTTATTATTTTTTGAAGTCGATACTGCAGAATAGTCACTATCATTAAACGTTGCAGGCGAGGAAATTGAATTACAGGGAGTAGATATTGCCGATACTGAATCTGTGTTATTTCTGAGGCAAGTAACCATATGCGAATCGGGAAGACTTTTCCGGACGGACGTACCGATTTCTGGTGTGAGTATTCTATCTTCGGTTTCTTGGCAAGAAGTCGGCACTAAAGTACCGTTTAAACTTTGTGAAGATTCTGAAAAATCACTATAAGGTGAAGGTACGAGTATATTATCTATGCTGTCAGAAGAATCATTAGAGACAAAGGTTCGATAATTGGTGGAGTTAATGTCAATGGAGAAGGTTTTCTAGTTGAAGTCAATACATTTGGTGAATAAATATTAAGTGGAGTTTTAGGATGATGACTGGCGAGATGAGATGGAGGCGAGTATAACTAAACTTAATGATGATTTAAAATTTGCTTTGAATGGATTCAGGGAGGAGATATGCACCCTTCGTGCTGAACATGAGCGTCTAAAGCATCAAACTGCTGATATATCCCGTGATGTCTCAGAATTAAAAGCATCCATGCAATTTCTTTCCGGGGAACAAGACGATTTCAAAAAAAAAGTGGATGGCACAATACGTCAATCTACCAAACAATCCGGCCTAACCATTAGCAACTTGGAAACTAAAGTCGATTACCTAGAGCAACAAGCCAGACAAAGTAACATCGAAATCTGTAACATTCCTGAAACTCGCAGTGAAAACTTGTTAAACATAATGGGATCGATTAGTATGGCTATTAACTTTCCAATTTCTCAGAAAGATATCCTGTCAATCCATGGAGTTCCCCATGCTCACCGTCAAACAAATAAGCCCTAGAATGTTATTGTGAAACTTTCATCGCGCATCCTTCGTGACAACGTACTAGCAGCTTTTCGTAAGGTGAAAACTCTCAAGACCGACCAGCTAGGACTTACCGGATCGACAATGAACATATATATGAACGAGCATCTTACACTGAAGAAAAAACAATTATTTCGTAAAACCAGAGATCTCGCCGCTATGCACCAATACAAGTATGTCTGGGTTCGTAATGCCACTATCTTGGTGCGCGAGCAAGATGGTGATACTGCTTTTGCTATCTGCACAGATGATGATCTTCGTAAGATCAAAAGGCGTACTAAAGGTGGTGATAAAAGCCCTTGTGGTAGTTCTACTCAACATACTCAGTAATAACAATACTTTTCATTATTATCATTATTCTCCCCACCATATATCTCGCTTAATTTCTTCATTACGTGTCATTCTGTATTGCACGTTTTTATTAATGATTTTTATCCTTCTCTCATCCAAAAATGCAAACAACAAGTCAAATTATATAATTAATACTTTTGAAATAAAATTTTCCTTACGGTATGTTACGTTAGTAGGGTTATATTGTACTATTGCATTTTGTTACACTTTTTTGAAATATTTATATTTATTTTATGGAGTATATATTACTATGAATAGCCTTACGTCAAAATTAAAAATAATGCTCAGATTAATTATAAGTTTAATTATAATTATAGTATTAATAAATTGTATGTTGATCCTAGTTTTATTATTATGCAATCGTCTTGGCCTCTATTTTGCCATATGCTGTTACACTTTGATAAGTTACAAACTTTTCATTCCTTTTAATTACTACGATTATGTGTTACTTGTCTGTTGTAGTATTATAATCTTTTTTAGAAATTTATGAGTATATCATAAGTATGTCAGCCCTTGAATATAACATGTGTAAGTATGGTTATTATGTTGTATATGTATCAACAAAATATTTTGGGCTGAAAAGGTGTGGAGTAATAATTATAATTTTTTATTGATTTTTTCATTTTGCGTGCATGTTTTTGTAATTCTTATTATTTTTATGAAAATATATTTTGAATCTTTTCTTCGTGGGGAATTGGAGGTTTGTCTTTGCTGCGTGACTGGTATATTATATCGTAATAAGGTAAAATATTCTTATTATTGTTTTAAAGACTTGAACATCGAAAGCGAAAGTTTTAATATTACTGTTAATATGTACATGTTATTCTCAATTATTTGTAATTGGTAGCAAGCAATATTCCTTATACTATCAAAATTGCAGAGGTTTCCGAACAAAATTACACACACTATATATGAACATTCTAAACAGTAACTATGATATCATCGTACTCAACGAGACTTGCCTGATATCGGAAATTAGCAACAATGAGTTTATCGATCAACGTTATATTGTGTACAGGTGCGACCGTAATCGTATCAGTACAAATAAACTAGATGACGATGGTATTCTAACTGCGGTATTGCGTACACTCAGATTATCTGTGTTAAATCTGTCTTTGACTAGTGTAAATGTTTCATTGCATAACCTAATCGAACACGTCATCATCGACGTCCCTAGTAAGCAATCCTCAAAGCGCCATGTCTTCAGTGCTGCTTACATACCCCCCAAACAACCTCTACCGTATACGAACTTCACTTTGAAACTTTACAAGAGGTACTGTGTGATCCTAATTTGGATTGTTTCTATATTTTGGGTGACTATAATCTCCCAGATGTAACTTGGACTCGAGGAACCACAGACGCCTTACATGGCAGTGGATTAGGCTCATCCGTTACCTTTAACCTATTATGTAATTTAATCTCATTTCTAGATGCCGCACAATACAACAATGTAGTGAATACCAAAAATAAAATACTTGATTTATGCATATCAAACCGCTCGTGTAAGATATCGGCCGCTTTAAGTCCCCTACTTCCTGTTGACCCATATCGTCCACCCCTTTGTTTGTGATATAGCTCTCAATGCTGATATTGTTCCAATGAAAAAGCGGACGCTTCAAAGGTACACTTTTTATAAGTCCGACTACACGCACATCAACCGCAAAATAGAGTCCACTGACTGGGATGAAATACTTACTCCACTGGGATCTGAAGAAGCACTTAGCGCATTTTACGGAATCATTGACGAAATGATCAAACAACACACGCCAGTTGTTGGCTCCAGAACCTCTGCTTTTCCGGTCTGGTTTTCGAAATCTCTAATTAGCACATTTAGAAAAAAACGTAAAGCTTGGGTAAAATGGAAGAAATATAACAACATATCAGACTATGAGATGTTTTCCCAGTATAGAAAATTGTAGGATATGTGTAAAATTTTTTTTCTAAATATATTGGATCGGTCGAGGATAGCATACGCAAAAATATTAAGGATTTCTGGATATACATCTCTAATCGTCGTGACAAACCTGGAATACCAGCTAGGTTGAATATAATGATGATGTTTCAAGTGATCCACAGACAATATGCAACATGTTTTCTGAATTCTTCTCTTCCGTTTACGAACCGCCCTCACCTACACTATCACAGTGGAGACCACCTGCCGATTCAGCATCCCATGACACTACTATTACTAATGTTCATTTTGAAGTAGAAAAGGTATTAAGAGAGCTAAATTCCTTGGATCCATCTAAGGGGCCAGGCTCTGATGGCTTATCTGCTTATTTTCTAAGAAATACTGCCACAGTTATATGTAAACCCCTAACTATCATCTATAATAAATGCATTACTCAAGGTGTTATGCCCACAGTATGGAAACAGGCTAACATCACACCTGTGCACAAGAGCGGATCTAAATGTAGTGTAGATCAATATCGCCCGATATCAATTTTGTCCACTTTGCCGAAGCTTTTCGAGAGACTTGTGCATAACGAAATATATCCCATACTGCACAATATCATTATACAGCAACAGCATGGTTTCGTAAAACGTCGATCAACAACCACCAATCTATTATTATTTTCCAGCTATTTATTTAAAAATGTTGATGATCGCGTACAGATCGATGCAGTATATACAGACTTTCAAAAGGCCTTCGATATCGTGGACCACGAAATGTTACTAAATCGAATAGCTTACAATGGCATTCGGGGTAATTTGTTACGATGGTTTGTTTCTTATATCACTAACCGTTGTCAAAGGGTTGTAATTAATGGATACCACTCTTACGTTACGATGGTTACCTCCGGTGTACCTCAGGGATCTATTCTCGGGCCTTTGTTATTTATAATGTTTATTAATGACATAAGTAACTGTTTTCTCAACTCAAAATTTTTATTATATGCAGATGATCTTAAAGTTTATAAATCTATCCATACTACACAAGACTGCATTCTTCTCCAAGAGGACCTAGATAGACTTACAGACTATTGTTACAAAAGTAAGCTTCAGTTAAGCATTCCGAAGTGTAAATATCTTCGTTTTACTAAAAACAAGAATATTAATACATTTTCGTACTCACTGTATAACGTTCCTTTAGCTAAAGTGGATTCTATGCGAGATCTCGCATAGAATCCACTTTAGCTAAACGTATACTGTTTGATTCAAAACTGTGCTTAGACTTACATTTTGAACAAATGGTAAACAAAGCATACAAACTATATGGATTTATTATGAGATCAACTCGCGACTTCAAACGGACCTCTTCATATCTTTGTTTATATAAAACCCTAGTTCGCTCTCAACTTGAATATGCTGTGCCCATTTGGAATCCTTATTATAATAAATATATACACAAAATTGAAAATATTCAACGCCGGTTTCTACGTGCAATGCATTATAGATGTCATAAATCTCATTTACCATATGACCGGTTACTCAGTAGATACAAACTTCTAACCCTCCACTCTAGACGTAAGCAATTGGAGTCTATGACATTGTTTCATATAGTAAGATGCAAATTTGACTGTATTGAGTTAAACAATCTATTATGTTATGTAGTTCCCAGAACTGTCCATAGACGACGGGTGCGTGCGGGTAAACTCTTTGCCGTAAGTACCTGTCGATCCAATACCGGTATTCGTTCATTTATTCGACGTATGGTTGCCACATATAATGAGACCTTCGAGCATATAGACATTTTTACATGCTCAAAGGAAAAGTTTCGTGGTCTTTTATACAAGACACTTTTCAAATAATAATTTTGTTATCTTAGTCACATTATAATATAATCACTGTTGACCATACTTTGACATTTGTATAATACCTTCTGTACAGCTGCAGGTCTCCTAACGTCTTAATTATCTATCTCAAGAGGTAATCTGTGAACAGCACTGTGGGCTGCATTATTGCGTATATTAAGTTACTGTACTATCTATATGTAATTATAAATAATGTAGTTATTAGCTGTTCCACTTTGAATAAAATAAAATAAAATAAAATAAAATAGCACCTTAATGCTGCTCTGTTTTATATGGCGAGTGTAGAAAAGGAAGCATTACATCTTAGTCCTCACCGGTGACAAAGCATTTGCATTTTTATTCGTAATCGAGAATAGATGTGTCGTCTATGAGACACATCAAGCAATTACCATCAGGTGGACTGTGTGCTCGTTTTTCACCCTTCTCCTATAAAATAGACTTTAATATGAGGTTCATTTACATGACGGTATCGTTACTCTGATATTTGAAATCCATTTGCATAGAACGATCGTCGATGAACGTTAGTGTTTTTTCTTTTTTCTCTGTATACCGATTGATTCTACGATAAGCTTGGTGTGCATAGTCTATTTGAGCAAACAATGCAGGGAAGCGGTCCCTAATGGCTACACTGTCGATTTGCATCAAAGGTAACAATCCAAAAAGTATTTGATATATCTTGCTGTTAGTTCTTAACATAATTGTTACTATGATACACCTTGTATGGCTAAAATTCTGTTACACAAAACAGAACCTTTTAGATTTAGATTAGATATTAGCCCTGGAAATGAGATGATTTTTGCACGTGGTAGAGCCATGCTGCAATATAACTGAGAGGACATACCAGAGCACACACAAAGGATTCGTACCATT